TGGCATTCTAGTTTTGTCTGTATGTCACGTACATGGTGTTGTACAAAATACGTACCTGTAGAAATGTACGGATTTTTGCATTTTTGCAAAATAGGATATAAAACGTATTCCAACTGGTTCATCATCTATTGTTACATCAAAAACGATTTTTGCCAATTTATGATCTAGAAATCCACACCAAATGTAAACAAACAGCACATTCTGCATTTCAGGGTCCTAGAACATCGATATTTGTAAAAGTATCCGCATCCACCTATTATTCATCGTCTAGATATTTATGGAAACATATCTCCAAACATTGTTTTATTTTCTTATTTTTATTAGTATAACACATCTGGGACACAAAACATATACACTGAAGAAGGTTTAATTATATGCTACTCAATGGCAACACGGTGACTTGTATGGTTGTCCGCGGCCATTTTTTGAGGGTGCGACATGGTTGTATATATTTTTCTGTGTTACCCTTGAACTCATGAACTCACCTCTCATTTTAATTAAATATTTATTTTGAAAACAGGCAGGTATCGGTTTGTTTATTGCTTGTCCGGTGGTGAGGTAATGACGGTAATCTACCAGTGTGTACCTTTTGTATGCACAAAAATCAAGTCAGGGCAAGTGGGGTAAGGGATGAAGATGTACGTTCGTAATCATATTCAACCCAAATCTACCCCTCTCATGTGCCCGACTGCCTGAGTGTGTATGCATATGTATGATTGATATGGAGCATAAAACTATGAAAACTACATAAAATTAACTTTTAGCTTTATTTTTGGTTTCAGCTCTTTTTCGACAAGTATAGAAATATTTAAATTATTTAGAAAAATCGTGGAGAATGATGTTATCGGTAAATATTCTCTTTTTTGTAAAAATACCGAAAAATCCGGTTCAAGTCCATGCATAGACATTCTGAAATTTGCAATATGAATTTATATTCTACATTCTATGCATATCCGTTCATATTCGTCAATATTTCATTTGAAGCCTTTCTTTGTTAAGATTTTATCAAAATGTAAGATGGTAAAGGCAACACCGCACCCTGCAGCCCAGTTGACAAGAACGACAAGCTGTCAAGATTAGGGATGTTTAGATCCACGAAAAGTATCGTTATGTATCGATTTCTATCGTTTTAGGAAGTATCGATACTCTAAAATATTGGAATAAAATTATCGATATCCAGAGGACGAAAAGTAAGCTGAAGTTAGTCACTCTTTCTGACACAGTCCGGATCGAAAGATGACGATACTCGTGAAATGTTCTATTGATACTTCTAAATACAGGATCGTATCAAACACCCCTACTGTCAAGATGTATAACCCAAGGTACCGACGGAGCTATTTTGCGGCATCATGGAAATAATTTTAAATTTTCATATGCATTTTTTCAAGTGTTGTGCAACGATTTTGGGAAAAATTCCACGAATAGTCTTATAAAGTATAGCAGAGTATATTTCAACAGTTGGCGGAACTTACTCCCCTGGGACCAGGGGGGTGAAACGGGATATTAATGCACAATCTGGCAACCATGTCGCACCCTCAAAAAATGACCGCTGACAACCACACATGTCACCGTGTTGCCATGCAATAGCATGGAATTAAACTGTGACTGTGACCAAGGTTTGACAGATCCCACACATGTGAATCAGCTGTCTTCAAATAATGTCTAATATAAATATAACCTAGAATGTGTACTCGTGAAAAAAGAAAAATATTGCAAATTTATAGTTTTTCTGCAGGTTTTAGGTTTGCTGGTAGCTCTACGACATATATTTGGGTATTTCTTAATCGCTGTGAATATAGTATGGATGTTTGTTAAGTTCCTGAACAACGAAAAATATTCAACTTTATGGATGTATCGATATCAAAAGACCTGAATGGTTTTGTGGGAATATCAATCTCAGGTGCCATAGTGGTTCTGATGAACGGCAAGTAAATGAATAAATGTTTGGAAACGAGCAATATCTATGAACTTTTTGATAGAGCCTGTCATCAAGTAGGTGCTTAATGGCTATCTGCAAGAGGTTTATAGGAAAAGAACACACGGTATGTATGTTGAATCAGTAAAATAGCATATGAATTGAAGAAAATTACATAAACATGAATAAAAAATCAACAACAGTAATTAAAACATGAATTTAATTCAAAAGTCAAACATTTCTTTAAATTATGACTGAATTATATGTAATTTCTTAATATTCAACAATCTGGTGATGTTTCAATGATAAGCGGTGGCCGCAGTAGTAGGCTCTTCGGTCTCCTGATCAGTCGCCGTGCGCTGTGCGGGTTCGAATCCCGTCCCAGGAGTAATTGTTCTCTTGGCTATGGACGTTGTGATTGTTCATAGGTGGTAGACGGTCACTGACTGACGAACGCGGAGGTACCACCCAACGGATCTCGTAGGCGGAGCCAGAATGTTGCATGCACACGTGTTCTCTCGCCAGAGTCCGTGCGGCGTTCCCCGTTTCGATAAACAAATACCTTGAACTTTCAGCTCCAAGGGGCAAATACATGTGTATTGAATACGAGTGATAAAGTTAACGCTTTTTGTAGAAAATTGGAATTCTAGAGCAGAAAGTTAAAGTAAAAAAACCTGAAAATGTTTGCAAATATGGATGAATGTATTAAAACTTACAAGACTGAAGAACAACACATGAAAGTTGTTTTAATAACCATTGAAAATCATTTAGCGATGCTGAAAAAACTTTAAAAAATATTTTCTGGCCGACGACAAATTACTTAATACTTAGTTACGAGTGGGTTAGGATTCCGTTTCAAATTACTCCCGAAGGGCTCTGAACTGCCGAAGAAGAAATCTTCATAGACTTGACGGCAAACGCCAAAATAAAAAAAACAGTTTAATATTAAATCCCTCTTTGAATTTTGGGCGGGCGTGAACGATGAGTTTTCGGCACTGAAAACCAGAGCGTTTCGTATACTACTACCATTTCCAACATCCTACCTTCGCGTAACAGGATTTTCGGCGGTGGCTGCTTTGACAACCAAATAGAGATCGCAGCTAAATATAGAAAAAGAGCTCATAGTGTCTATTTCAAATATTAAACCTTGTTTCGACAAGCTTTGCTCGACAAAGCAAGCTTAAGGGAGTCACTAGTAATTATTATCACTTTTAACAATTAATGTTATTAAACTTATTTTTAATTTAGTATTGATAAATACAGTCCTGTTTTTTAAGTGTACCTACTATATCAGTGTTAATTATATATTTCATTTTTGATTATGTCAGAATTTTGTTCTTCTTTCTTTTTAGTAAATTATTTAATGTTGTGTTTTTTTCTGATATGCTCGCACCACCGCCTTTAATATTGACAGGCGCCATAGCAAATAGCGCTGACATTATACATGCTGTGTCAGCACGCCTCCGAAGCAAATTAACAACCAACATGGAAGAACCTATGGTTTCAAATAAGAGCGTGTAACACCTTTTTCCTTTCGCTTTTTTTTTGTTTGTTTTTCGAAGACTTATTGAGCATTAATGCTACAATGTCAATTTTGTATAATTATTCGTTTGCACATTGTTTTAATCAATTTTCTGTAATTTTACATTCTTGTCTATTAAAATTACATCAATGATCAAATTGGGTATTCATGAAGTGATTTTTTAATTTCACCTTGCACATTTTTTAATTCGAACACTGTTCAATATTATATTTGCTAAATTCAAATACTCCCTTTTGGAATACAGATTTGCTAGTTATGCTACTATTACAATGTTGAAGGTGGAAATCTAACTGCCTCTAGTTTCGTAGTTATGATGACTATTTAGTTTTGTGAAGTTTTCTACATGTGGTGGTAAGAAATTATTTTTTAATTTGAATATGACAATGAAAAATATTATTTTTTTTAGATCCAACCACTACAGGTTTAATAACTGAACTGTGGTATTCCCAAAGGGTCTAAGTGCCAATATTTCTGAATTTCATATTTTTCCTCCAAAAGGATCTACATGCTTTAATGCATGCATTAGAAAAGGGTCCAAGTACATATCCGACGAAAATGTATTTAATCTCCCTATTTGATAGATGGCGTTCTCGTACTCGGTCGTGACTTGTTCATTGAGAAGGGTCTAAGCGCCGAGTACAGGCGTAATATTATTACGTGCATTTAATAATAAACAATGAGTGAAAATCAAGTAAACAACCCAAAGCGACATGCCCCAGGGTCTGAAAATAAAAAGATTGAAATGAAACGACTGAAATATAGTGGCCTGGCATATCACAATCGAAGTAACAAGGATATTGCTGCTAAGAAGGCGCCAAGTTTTGAGGTTAGTTGTGTTTATTTCTATTGTTTTAGTCAACAAAAGTAAATAAGTTTGTTTTATTCCAGGTATTTTGTAAATGTAAATATGAGTGCAGAAAATTGCCCTATGAGCAAAAAATATTTTTATTTGAAGATTATTATAAAATAGCTAATCATGTGAAGCAAAAATCTTATCTGTTGGGACTCATACAAATTGGCAGTGTAAAAAGAAGTCACGGAAAATATGAATCTGCAGAACAAAGTCGTCGACAAGCTACTGCATGGTACACGGTTCCAAACGGAAATGGCCAGCATGTCAAACATTTTCAAACATTTTTGCCCTATTACACAAGGCAGTGCAAGTTTTAACAGAAAAAAAAGTTGGGAGAAACAGTGTAAACAGATAAAAGAGGCAAGTCAAATGAACCAAGAAAGTATACAACAGCGATAAGAGACCAGGTTAGAGAACACGTACAAAGTTTTCCTTGCGAAGAGAATCATTATAGCAGAAGCAAATCACAAAAGAAATTTCTGAGTCCAGATTTGAATATAAATCGCGTATACTTGGCATTTAAAAGACAGTTTCCCGATACAGAGGTTACTTATAAGTACTACTTGACAGTATTTAAAAATGATTTTCCGCATTTACGATTCGGTCGCCCCAGAACGGACACTTGCTCAGTTTGCGATCTTTACAAAAATAAAATAAGTTATGCCCAAAATCAAACAGAAAAGGATGAGATGAAAGCCAAACTTGACCTACACCACAGAAAGGCGGAAAAGGCTAGACTAGAAATGGAAAAAGACGGTAATTTGTCACAAATCCCGACGGCCAGCATTAGCATGATGTCTATAGATTTAGAACAAGTTTTATTTTTGCCAACACTTACACATACGCAGATGTTTTATAGCAGACAGCTTTCGTGCTATAATCTAGGAATACACATATCTGATACTGGAACTGCTCATATGTGTCTTTGGGACGAATCCATAACAGGTAGAGGAGCTAATGAAATTGGATCTGCCCTTTTAAAGTGCCTTAACTTGCCAGCTTTGAATATGAAAAAAAACTTAGTGATTCGGTCGGATAATTGCATAGGACAGAACAAAAACAAAATGTTGCTTTTTTTGTTCATATATTTGGTCCATAATGGAAAGTTTGAAAAAATTGAACAGAAATTTTTAGTTTCCGGGCATTCCTATTTGGCATGTGATAGGGACTTTGCGCAGATTGAGCGTCGTAAAAGAGTCACAAAAAACTACGTACCGGATCATCTTGAAAAAATGATTAGGAGTGCACAACATAAAAATCCATTCAATGTCATTCGTATGAATAGAGAAGATTTTAAAAATCTTCAAGAGATTTCCGATAGCTTTTTAAACACGACCAAACTGACTATATCCAAAGCCTGTTGGATAGAAGTTTCTAAGAAAAATCCAACTTTAGTCAGAACAAAAACAACGTTTAACGAAATGGAAGAATGGACCTCTTGTAACGTTTTAAAACGAGGCAAAACTTTGAGTGACCTTAAAACAACACCGTTGCCACAGTTAGATTGCAAAAACCGCATATCTCAGGAAAAGGCCAAACATTTAGAAGACATGTTAGATTACATACCACTTGCATATATCTCATTTTATACCGGTATCATCGAAAAAACCAAGCAAAACAATCCAGAGTAAACATTTTGAATGGAATTACTGGTTTCACATAGACCCTTTTACAATGACACGATGCATTAGACATAGGACCTTCTAAAAATTTAATATTTTATTTTGTGTTCCAAAATATATTTCGTTTATTTTTGCTACGTTTTTTCGTTTTAAGTGTTTAGTTCTTTTCATTAACGCCTAAATAAAGCATGTTTCTGAAAATATTTTTTACTTTTGCGTGCTTAATTTTAACCATCTAGCTCAATAATGTTTATCTATTACTTTATTTTTAACGAGATAAATCATGTAAGGGAGTAAAATGGAGCATATGCTTGTACTTGCAAAGTAAATGGTTTAAGGGGAATCAATAAAATTTCAAGCAAATGGTTTTGCTTAAAAGTATGAAGTAAGTGCTCATGATATAAAAGGAATGGCTTCAAAAAAAATTAGCTTACAGGTGCGAATATTTATTTGTGGAAAACTGATGCTACTATTTAATTGCATCAGACATGTTACTTAGAAGCTCTGCTGTTTTTTTTTTCTTTTGAGCAATGGTTGATGAATCTCTGAAATGTGAAATACTACAAGCAACGGCGCGCAACGCAATTTTATAAAGTATGTTGCGGTTTGAAGGGGAAAATGCTGAGTTGTTAGCTCTGAACTTTTTAGGCGAGATTTTAGAACGGCGTGGTGACGCAGTATCAGCTTTGCACGGAATGAAGGTATGTTTAAGATATTTTTCAAATCCAAGCGGAACAGGGAATGAGCTGGGCATTGAGCAGCCCACTGTTTCTCGCACTCTGAAACTGGTCTTAAAAGTGGTAAAAAAATTATTCTATACGCTAATCGTTGGATCCAGTTTTCTGAAAGACGTCATGCTATAATGAAAGCTAAGAACTGTGGGCAAGCAAGTTCAAATTTCCGTCTGCTATTAGAGCACTAGACATGTATTGTAAACGAGAATCTTACGAGTTATTACAGGGGTTGATGATAGTAAGTCGTCTTGCAGGAATATTTTTGTAAACACTAAAGTCATGACATTAGCTTGTTTCTACATATACGAATTACAAGTATATGTCAAACTGACCAAATCCCAGCTTCGCGTCTTAAATACCACAATATTTTCAATACCAGGAACTCGAACTTGCTTCAAGTACCAGCAGAGATGAGTCTGCTTCCTCAATATTTTAAACTCCTTAGCATAATGGAGTCCAAAAATAGTTAAAAGATTCCTGCTAAACAAAGCATACTACGGTGTTAATGACAACGCAGTTATTTAGGCATATAGATGTCTTATGCTAATTGAGGAAGTTAATGTAAGTGTACCTAATCTTATTTGTTTGGTTGCAATTTTTGTTTTTGATGTAATTTCGTCTTTACACTTTTATCTGTTGAGCTTATTGTGAATATAATTATATGTTGTATTATTAACACAGTAATTAATTTACTGTTCCATCTTTTGATGATCCTGGAATAAATAAATGTGAATTTTGAATTTGAAACTAGAGAAATCTAAATTATAAGGGAACGAATGCGTAAACCGCAAAGGATGTATGGAAAGTACATTATTGGGTATGAGCCTGCCGGGTTCGGTAGATGAAGCATCACAACGTGCGTTTTAGTCATGAGCTTTTACTCTTTTATATGATGCATTTCTTGCAAGTAAAAGGTGATCATGATTCATATTGAATGTGGCAATTGCTTTTGCTTCTACGTTTTTCTTTGAGCATTAGCTTTTCCTTCTACCTTATGCTTATAAGCATTTACTTGATTTTTATTCATAGGGCTCAAGGCCATGCTCTTTGTAAGTCCAACAATTAGGTACATATTTAAAAGTCCGAGTTAAAGCTTTGCGATGGCATATTCCTTCTACGAACACTTACGCTCACCAAACTTAAGAACACTGACGCGGCTTTGAGTCGCTCCTGTAGTTAATAAATTATAATACAAGCTCACACCAAAACTACTACTTTTTAGTTGTTTTACTCCAAATGGACATATAAGTGTCGGCTATAATACTAAGGAAAAAAATTGATCATTCTATGATGGGTAAAAAATTATATTCTCAAATTTATTATAGTTATGGGCTACAGAATTTTGCACGCCTAGAAGAATGAGTGAAATACTGATAATTATGACATGCCTTAAAACGAAAAGGGTAACAAGTAAGGACTATTCTTAAAAGGTTTTCGATTCATATCAGCAACACAACAATAAGTTCCAATAAAATAATAGTTTCTTTACCAGAAAGATACATGTATCCGTATACCTATTTGTACATTTTCAAAAAATATAAGACAGCTTTTGATTACTTAGAAAACAAAACTACATGTTATAAATGTATTGATGCCTAAATGCTAAACTTTTCAATATCTTCATTAAATTCTATTTCTTTTAAAAGCTTCCTTTAAAATAATATGGATGATTAACCAATCGTTTTGGTTCGCTGTAGAACGGAGATATTTTTTTAAAATCTTTAGCTCAGGAAGATCTCCCTCGCATTGCTATAGAAACGCAAATAATCAAAAAGTATTGTGATATCAATGATATACAGGGCTATGGATACCATTTAATAATAAATTGAATAACTTCTTGGGCGTTCAAGGTAATTAATGTAATACCCCCGATACATCTGACCAATGGCACGCAAACAGCAACCCGAATGGCGGCAGGTCATCTGAAAATTGAAAGGAAAGTAAATTTTATGGTATAAGTAATACGAATGGGTGTGAAAGGTACCTACACGTGCAAGTTCTGTAACTCGCACACATTTTTATTACTTGTAGCATAAGATCTATTTCCCTTTGAATGTTCAGATAACCTACTGCCATTCTGATTGTTGCTTTACTGCCACTGGTCTAGAGCCGTTCTGCTTCAGTCGTATACGGGTGTATTACGTATAATAGTTACTTTGACTAGATTAATCAGTTCTATTGAGCATCCTATTTGTCTGTCTATCGTTTTCAAAAAGATGCTCATAGCTGAGCCGGGGGAACTGTAATATGGAGACACATCTGTACATCTGTAATTGAATGGAATAACCAACTGTAATAGAGGTTCAAAACATCAAGTAAATCACAGCCGAAAGAGGTTTCTTTGGTAGAGTATTCCTCGGACATCCGCTTTCTTTCACTTTGACGTTAGCGACTGCCCAACTCGCCTGTCGAATTGGTAGATGTTTGATAGAACAGCTCATCACATAATATGGAGAAAATCATTTGTTGATCTGTTTGCACATATCCTAAAGTGTCCCTTTTAAATGCGACACCATTGAACGAACGAAAAATTAGTGACGCGTACTCGCAGCCAAATCTATTCTAGATGATAATACGGGATTTCAGGAAATAAAAAGTAAATTACTAGAAGTATGTGTGTGCATTTATTCCAGAGTGCGTACTAAAATTTCTTGTACAGGAAAGACATAAGGAAATCAACCTCTTCCGAGGTAGGTACCTAGTAAGCTGTGTGCCGAATAACGCTTCGAAATTCGAGGGCGACAGGTAAGTCATTTTGACGTCAATTGTTCTGAATTTGCCTTGCAATGTTCATGTTTTGATATCGGAAATGCTATTTATATACTAAGTGACATATAAATCCGAACACCCAGTTTAAATGGTTTTATTTTAATAAAAGTTGGTGAATGTATTTATCTTACTGTAAATAACAAGTGAAAAAATTTTCAGCCTTATCAGTTGGACATTCCGGTTTTTATACTGCTTTTTTTAATTCACTAACGCTCTAAAAATGAATATTTCAGCCGCAGTAAAGAATCAACGTTGGCGGATTTTGGTTCTTGACATCCTTTACGATCGGTTACGATGCCTAGAGTACGGAGACCTGTACGATTTCGTCAACTTAGTGAGTTTGATAGGGGCTGGAAGCTGGACTTTCTTTTCGGGCAATTGCAGTTAGAGTGCAAAGAAGTGTAGACACTGTGGTTAGGTGTTGTCAGGCATGGCTTCGAGAAGGCCGTACGCAAAGAGCAAGGGGCACTGGACGCCGCCGTAGAACAACAGACCGTGAAGATCGCCGCCTAAGATTATTGGCCTTAAGGGACCGTTTCTCCACTACCAGGTCCATTGCAAATGAATGGTTTGCAGAACACGGAAGACCTATTGGCATGCGAAGTGTTTACCGACGAATGAGAAGTTTTGGCTTGTTTTCATACCGGCCACACTGCGTCCTCCCTTTAACTCGAGAACACCGACGTAGTCGCCTTGAGTGGTGCAGACAACGGTCACTCTGGGATCAGGAATGGAACAGTATTGTCTTTAGTGACGAGTCTCAATTTTGTTTAGGCATGCACGATGGTCGTGCCAGGGTTAGAAGGCGACGTGGTGAAAGGAGGAATCCACAGTTTTTTGTTGAAAGACATGTTCATCACACCGTTGGAGTTATGGTTTGGGGTGCTATAGCTTATGGTTCCAGGTCACCTTTAATCTTCATCAGAGGTCACATGAACGCGCAGCGTTATATCCACGAAGTTCTAGAACCCCAACCAAATACTGGGGCTGCTCTGAGGAGCTTAAAGAAACTCTGTTAATCCGATCTTTAAACTACCTCAGCTTAGTAGAATTGGGAAAAGCCTCCTCAGGTAGATTGTTCCACAATCTCAATACCCTAGGGACTCAGGGGCGGTCGTATCGGTCAGTTCTGGATATAACGAAGTTCGACACGGATGGTGAGCCGAAGTCAGGCGGGTCTGTTTAACAGGGAAATCGCGCAGCGGCATCATGCGTGAGGTCTCTGAGTAGCAAAGCCCATTGACATAACGGTTGATCGTCGACGTCCTGTCGGTGCGAAAGAATCGCGAGCCTGGCCGTTAGGAAAGAATCATTGATCAGTCGGACAGCCCTCATCTGAACAGCATCGAGCAAGGAGAATGTAGTCAAGGCAGCTGCACTCCAAACATGTGAGCAGTACTTGCGGCTTTATCTTATCAGGAGGTTAAATGGAGAAAAGTAGTGCAAAGCCCTAAACAAATAGCCTAGCCTTTTCCCAGCAGCTATCGCTAGTGACGAGATGCATTC